AAACTATTTAAATCAAATATTAATTTTTAAAAATCATTTTTTATTTTTTATAAATAAACAAAAATTTAAACTAAATCATACCAAACGTAACTTAAGTCATTTAGGCCTCGTTTACTTTACAGATTTGAGTTTTTAATTTAAGTTGTGATGTGATATTTTTTAAAAAATTTTAACTATAATAAAAAAAATTAAATTTGATATTTTTTAAAAATTTTTAACTATAAAAATTAAAAATTAAAAATTTGAATGATAAAATGAGAAAACCTTGTTATTATCCGAAAGAGTATTTACGGAAAGGAAGCGAAGTTTCCCGGTAAAATCCCTCAATTTTCGCATATACCAAAAACCATACCCGAAAGAAGAAAGCAGAAGAGGGAGATGGAGACGCGTACTAGTCTTTTTCCCCACATCCAAATTTCCACGGTCATGGTCTTCTTCTTTTCTTCTTTTTCCTTGTCCTTCACTCTCCATTTCCCTCTCTCTTCTTGCCTTTTCAAACGCTTGAAAAACCAGCAAACCAAACCCAAAGAATTATTCACCAAAATGGATTGACCAGCATTTATACGGACCCCCCCAACTTGATAAAAATTCCCACAACTTGCTCTTACAAGTCCATTTCCTTCCTTTTCATTTTGATTATAAATTCATATTCATATTCTTCTTCTGTTTCTTTTTCAACGTAAACGTGTTCATGGAAGTCATGGAGTCCGAAACCGCCATTGCTTCTAAGGTTCAGAGGCTGAGATGCTCGGTCCAGAACTACGATTGGGGTCGGAAAGGCGTTGACTCTACCGTCGCCGAGCTTTACGCTCTGAATTCCGGCTCGGAAATCGACCCCGAAAAGCCTTATGCTGAGATCTGGATGGGAACTCACGACTCAGGACCCTCCTTCCTGGTTCCGAGCGAACACAAGAGTAATGGAAATCTGTCGGTGGAGTTCGGCAGCCATGGCGAGAGCCTCAAGTCTTGGATTTCCAAGAATCCTAGTGTGCTCGGCGAAAAGGTCGTCCAAAGGTGGGGCAGTGATCTTCCGTTCTTGTTCAAGGTATTGTTCTACATGCTGTTTGAATTTCCATTGGATTCCTGGCTTTTCCAATTAGTCGAGTTCTTCAATGGTAAATTTTAATGGAAATCTGTGTGGTTCGTTGTAGGTGCTTTCGGTGGCCAAGGCATTGTCAATACAAGCTCATCCGGATAAGGAATTGGCCAAGACTTTGCATAAGTTGCAGCCAAGTGTCTATAAGGACGACAATCACAAGCCTGAGATGGCTCTCGCCATAACCGACTTCGAGGCTCTTTGTGGATTCATCAGTCTCCAGGTTCGAATTTTTAGTTTCCTTATTCTTTGATTGAATTGGATAGAATTTGGCAAGTTTGTTTCCATTTCTCCATCAATTCTTCCAGAAATATATGACTTCTTCTACTACTCATAAGCTTATTGTTGCTCTCTAGTAATTGATACAAGATCTAGTCGTCTTAGAATCCTTTTTGTGACTTATTTGGCATATATGTTGATTGTATTCTTAATTTGTGCCTGGGAATGGGTTTCTAAATTTGGCTCGATATTGTTTTTATGCCTGACTTTTGGGTTTATCTGGTAAGTTTGTTATCTTATGTCGTTATGTTAATTGCTTTGATGAAATTTATGAAAGATTTTTCAGATTTACGGTAAACTTGCTGTTTCCATAGAGTAATCTTTGTGAACGCGTATCATATATAAGATGATTGATTAGTTGGAGATGATATTTGAGATACAGAGCTCTCTTCATGTATGCGCATTCTTTGTTAATGTCTTGACTTTTCTTATTTAAGATGATTGACTTGGGATATTCTCCAGGAGCTCAAGTCTGTGCTTCATGACGTTCCTGAGATCGTAGAGCTGGTTGGAAGTACAGATGCAAACCAACTCTTGAATCTCAGTGATCAAGATGCGGAAGAAAAAGTAAAAATTGTTCTGCGTTCAATTTTCACCAAACTCATGTCAGCGAGCAAAGAGATGATAATTGAAGCAACTTCCAAACTGAAAGACCGTCTACACTTTGAAAGTCAGGTCTGTTAATGATTTGAATTTCTTTTTCGTCAAACTTCCATTACCAAGTAATAGCTGGCTTCAACAATTTGGGACAGTTTTAGATGTTGGAACTTTCTTTCTTTCTTTCAATTTCCCGTCTCCCCTTGGTTTGACAATATATTTATATATATAT